ACGTTTTGCAAGGTTTGGAAGTTTTGAGCGAAAAATGGGGCCTCCTTTGTCCCCCAAACGGAATCATGGAATCATTTTCCAAACGTGGTTATCCATATGGAAGAATAATTAAAGAGGTCAAGCATCTGGGATGTTCAGTGAGCATAGCTTCGATAAGTAGCTTCGATAAGTATTGAATAACAAGGGGAAGAAACGTGTAGCTGCAGCCTTATCACGCATTTGTTTGTGATAATAACCATTACAGTGTTAACCTTTGATTTGTGTAACCCTTAAACTATGGGTTGATTTACTTATGCCATGAGAAATTTATTACATTCTTGCGATTGAGGGGTTTACAAAGTGGCACCACGCAGGAGTGAGAGTTATAACTCATGGTCACAATCGTAATAAATATATGATAGAAATATTTTAAATATCATTTAAAGTTAAGCGTATTTAACAAAAACATACTCTATGCAATATTTAAATTGATTAAATGTGACCCAAAGTATGAGGGAAGATGAATTTGAGAAACACTTCACTAATAAAAACTACATGTTTTGAAGTAACCATAATCCAACTTAAGTTAATCTTGGTTACTGAATACGGGCCCCAGAGAGAAAAATTCCTCCCCAGACTACAAATGTCCACACTGCCTCTGTTCCATGCAATTCTCTATCCTCTCCATAAGAGTTTCAATTCATTGTTGTTCAGTAGTAAGTAGTGTGCTTGAATAAAAACCAGTAATCTAGTTAAAGTGTGCTGATTCCGGGACTTTTGTTGGCCTTATTTCCTACGAAGAGTGTTACCAATTGAAATATAGATGGCTTGGAAATAGCTCCGTTTTGGCCGATAGTCAACAAAACCATGAATTTTTTCTAGAATTTAGCTTTAGGAATAACTTTGTGGTCATATTTCGCATTCTTACGACCTGTTGCATTAAAAATATAATAGGTGGCAACGTGAGCAGAATCCATAGGGAAATAGGACTCTTCGTCAGGAACCAGAATTTTAGAAATGGTTTTTTGGAAAAAATTGCATCCTGTCTTAGCTCTTGATTTTTGACCTTTTACGTCCTTTGGTGCCTTAATCTTCTTAATTCTCTTCATCTCCAACTTGTGTGCTTGATACAATGAAGAGTTCGTTGAGATATCTTGAACCGGTTCACTACTTGGCGTTCTTATGTCGAAGGCTTCCTCTGATATAAAGATTTTAGTACTGCTCTCACGACTTTAGGAGTAGCCTGCTTAACTGGTCGACCTATAATTTTTCTGAAATTAGGCGATCCCGTTTCCCTATACATCCCCAAGTAACAACAAATTGAAAATTTTTGAAAATTTTTGTCTTTAAATTGTTGGTAAGTCTATTTCTTGTCTAACTTGGCCACGTTTTTGTAAAAGTGCACAACGCGTTTTGTAAGGACTTGTCGTTCTACCATTCGCATTTTTTGTGCCTTGCAAATACTAACCTAGTTGAAACAGAATTTCGTTACAAATTTTTTTTTCTACAAAATAATCAAAAAATATTTCAAAAAATTCTTTTTTTCTTACCGAAAGATCAACAAAAATCGTCGTTGCGAAACTTATGACTCGCTCCTTAGTTGATGTAGAAAAATGAAGAAAAATTCGGCATTTACCTGAGCTGAGCTATACTAAATATTTACGAATTATAATTAAGTGTTTCTAACTGTTCGTCATTAAATACCATAAAATTAGCTCACACATAAGAAAAGTTTAGTTTAGCATATGCATAATAAAACTGGTTAAATTATTAATCAATAATTAGTCAATATTTTCATCCACTTAGCTCATTTTTTTCGAAATCAAATTACTCAACATGCAGATAATACTCTATCAATCTCAAATCAATTCCGACATTTCTTACGATTCGTACAAATCATTCTGGATCAGCATTTTCAAATCAACATAAAGTCCAATTAACCACATTTTCACACTACTAGATATGTATATAAGTTATAAATGTACGTTAAGTCTCGATTGAAATATGGATGTATTTATTTGCAACTACAATAAATGTATAACTTGTTGAAAAGATGAGTAATATGTATGCATATATGTCTCATCTCATTCGTTGAAAAAACGGTGAATCTGCAAAATAATATCCGACTACCCCATACATATGGAAATACTCCAAAGGCAGGTACATATATTGCAAAACACGGTTTTTCCCTTATTTTTAATCCGTTTGACCCTAAAATTATAGGAAGTACAGATATTCCACAGGAAGGAATTTTTTTAATTGAAAATACCAAATTAAACTGGTCATTTAAACCAGTCCCAATGTTAACCAAATACAATTTTTTGTGACGCGTAATGATCCGTAAAATTTGGAGTTTTGCTGGGATTTGAAATTTAGAGGGTTTTCTTAAATTAGAATTAACATGTCTCAATTAATTTAGGATTTTCCTAGGTTTTCCGTTATGAAAGTAACTTACTGTAATACATGCGGTGGGAAAAATGAGTTATATATTATTTTTCCTTGTTTTGGACATAAAACTTGTACGATTTAATGGCTGATATTTTTTCCTCATGTATGTATTAGGATTATAAATATTTAAGTTACTTTAGGAAAGCATTTCTATGCGTTCTAAATCAAGTGCTCAGAACTGGTAAATAACAGTTTGGAAAACCCTGGAAAGTGGTCAAAACCAGGATCGGTGTTAAAAATCATTAAGGAACCGTAAATATTACAACTTGTGGCTCAAGTTATACCATATTTATTAGTTAGTGAATATACATATTTCTGTATTAGTATGGATACCTTTCAATGCATTGTGTTATGCACACTTTTGGTGGCCCTTTTTCAACGTATTCTGTTTTTTGGGAAGGTTATTCATTCACAAATGTGGTAATCCTTTGTTTCCCTCGAAGCCTTGAACTTTAACAGAACTAGGGAAGTTGGGTTGTCTATCTGTGTTTTGGAATTTTTCCAATCGTGTGGTTTAGAGGATATGGTAAAATTCCAACAAGTCAGCAATGTATCCTGACTAGCAATAATTTGAAGGTTATACAAATGACAAAAGAATTCAAATATGTGTATTAATATAGGGTGATGTTTGTCTTCAATAGCACGATTCACATACATTGCATAAAAAAGTCATTACTTGGCTTGAGTTATTTGGGTGCCAATTAAAGGGCCCAATGAAATCATACTTTGACCCAAGAAAACATTTTACTTTTTCCAATTATACAACAGCCAATATTTTAATTTTTTCTTTAATCTTTTTTATATAAAAAGAAGCCATTGTTTCCAAAAAGCAAACACATTTAGACACAATTCAGGGGTCTCTATATTCCACCTTGCATCGAAAAGTTTGCAAAGTCCGTTAAAAATTGTTGCACGCCTCACAAAAAGTGCTGGCTTTAATGTGCCGACAACAAAAAAGTCCATTGGAGAACATCAGGTGACTTAACAAGGGACAGCGTCTGCTTTAATACCCATTCTTGGGATAGTCCAGTATTTCTTTGCTAGAAATACTTGTGATTTCGAATTTCTTTTTGAAGTCGGGTGTGTACTGGGTCGGGATCCGAGCAGTGTCAGGATGAATTAATCTCTTGTGCGTCTTCCCTGTGTAATGTGTTGCATTTTCATGTTCTAAAACAGGTTTTAAAACCTTCCCCACATTATAGGCTGCATTTATTTATACATTGTGAGAAATTCTGATCTGAGGAAATTTTCCACGGAGACATTAACCACCCACTATCACACCTTCACCTAAAACTTTTTGCGTTTTTTCCACGCATATTTCTAAGTGTCGCATCTTTTTGTGGAAAGCTAATTAAGCCATTCCTTTTGCTATCCTGGGTGAAGAATAATACTTCGTTCAAATTTGGAGCAAATTGAGATATGTCAAGGGCAAGGTGGTCGCCGTACAGCCCCCAACATGTGGACTTCCGTGTTTGCTTGTGGCATGGCTGGAAGGCGTTTACTTGGCTTTATTAAAAGGTTTTCAACGGTTAGTTTTCTTTAGTGATTTTATTAGTTGTTCACAGGGATGCCTTGTGCGTCTTGCACAATAAGTTTTGTGTGGGGGTAATTTCTATTTTTACCCCACGAGCTACTTTCAGACCAACATCAGTTTTCTTAATTTTATGGGGCTGCCGCTGAAATGCTGTGGGAGACCCAGATTGATTGCAATGTTACTTTTTCTTTTGCAATTCTTGGTTCTGTGCACATTTCTAACCGAAAAGGTGATTTTCGGTTTTTTTAGTTGATCCACAATTTGTGTAGAGGTCATTGCAGCCTTGTAAACGGGATTTTCGACATGGACCACTTTGGGATCATTTCATAAGCCCGGGGTTCATATTTTAAAGTCAAGTAAAAACGTTTTGACACACCAGGGAATCAGTCTACCAAAAACTTTTTGAATTTCGAAGTTTAAACAAGGGAATATCAAGATTTTTTAGAAAAATAGAGAGTGCCTCTAATTGTGAATAACCCTGTATACCATACTGGTATAAATTTGGTATTAAGATAATACTCTACAGTATTACCTTTAAAACTAGCTGGTATTGGTTTTTAAACCACGCAGTATTCATCTAATACCATACCAATACCACGCGGTAGAGTCATATATCTACCATGTGTTTTAAGAGTGTTAACACTGTTAACACTCTTAAAACACAAGTAACAATTGTTAGTTGTGTAATAGAAGATTCCTGGAAATCGACCACCATGTGAATGACAGTCATGAAACCATCCATTGTTTCCCTTCTATCCGGTGTGGAACTATTTTTAACACTTACGACGGACTCAACTCCCACATCCGGTCAACACATCCGAAAAAACCGAAAAGTTTTCAGTGTTCTCTGTGTGATCAGAAATTCCAATGTAAAGGAAGTATTAATCGGCATTTGACAGCGGTGCATAAGAGGGATGCGTAACGTGACATTTATTTTTTTATGTCTATTTTCTTAAACGGATATCATGGATGACATTTTAGAAAAGAGTTATTTTATTTTTATTGATATAAGTTTATTTTGTCTATTATAGGAGAAAATGAATGGATTACTCGACTTATTTTTGTCCTGTGGATAAGTTATTTTAATTAAAATTCTTATATCCCTGTTTACCTTGGAACATGTTCGATTTCCATTTCAAAAATCTTTCCAGAAAAATCAATCTTATTATTTGTATTATTAATTAAATTGTGTGTGAACCATAAATAAATATTAATATAATAATTATACCCTCTAAATAATCTTACAAACATATATATACACAAGTTGCCTAAATTAGTTCGTATCCCAGAGACTGGAATATGCCAACGGGATAAGTCCATCAGGCTTGGATCAAATTTTATTCGGCTTAAAGTATTAAGAATATTAATCCTTAAAAATATCCCACCATTTAAAAAAACATGTCAAATACATCCATAATTATGGCAAAATCATTAAATGCATTTGGAACCTTAAGGTGTCATCTAATTTGAAGCACTTCCTGGCCAAACCGGAGCTCGTGTAATCCTCGCGGTATGGAAATTCTCGGGCGCATTTACACCTGGAAAATAAATATTCCACCACAATTGAATTTAGCGTAAAAATGTAAGTACAAAATATTTTCCACTCATATTTACAACTACTGATCTCACCCTTGCACCCAAAGGGTGTCAAAGTTTGTCACCGTATCCTCAAAATTGTTTCTAGTTACCCCATCCGCCCCTTTAATTTCAAAGGTGAACGATGCCGCCTGTTTTTTAGTTTGGACAACAAAACTGGAAACTCCGTCAACCCTGCTAAATCCAAAAGTTCCTCGAGAAAGTTCCAAGTATTTCACCATTAATGTTGTAGAAAGTTCGAAAAAGTAGTCCAGTTCGGGATCATCACCGGTTAGATAAGATGTCAGAAATTGTTGACATATTTCGTTAGATGTGGGGTTAAAGATGCCGTTGGAACTGGTGAATTCATCTCTGGACCAGAAAACGGGTTGATTTTTGCTCAAGCTGGCAAGGTCAAGGGTCGAGAGGTTGGATAAATTGAGGAGGGTCGTTGTTGATGAGAGGTCCTCCTTGGGACGTTGGCTAAGCCGAGTGATGACCTCGACCGGAGAGGTGTTATTGGAGAAGGTGATTTTATGGTAGAACTGACCTATCCAATTTTCTTCTAACGCATCGGCCGAGGACAATTCACAAACATCTTGGATTGCGTAGTGTCTCTTCAAAAAATCTGGACAAGGTTGGTGAGAAATTGTAGAGTTGGGACAGAGTGGGTGGCCGTGCAAAAAACGAGATTTGTTGTTGTTGTTGTTATTGGGCTTTTATTCAAGTGTTATTTCAAGATAAGTACAATTTTGACTTGTTTCCATCACGTAACACGAAATACAGATTTGAAGAGAGAAAAGATTTTGAAGAGAGATATTTTAATTAATCGTAATTATAATTCGTGGTCAGCTTTAAATTAAATTATACTTAAAATTAATATACTTAAATTAAATATTATACTAACAATCTCGCATTTTTAACACATGTTCAGATAAAATGGAGCGAACATTAACAGAATCTTTTTCCTTTGGGTGTAGAATGAGTGAAATCGTGTCGGAAGAGAGCTCATTCCATTTTTTTATACTGTAATACTGGACGGACGAAGTAAACATTTTCGAATTGTGTGTCAATACATGATATTTTTGCGAACCCCTGGTATTATGTCCAGTTTCTGTCTCATTATACATATCCGATATTTGTTTAACATTACAACTTTTCTTAATCTTATACAAATTCCAAAGTGTGTAGTATGCTAATCTTTCGTTTAGTGACAATAAATTAAATTTCTCAAGCAGATCATTATAATTTACCTTCGTATGCCAAATCCTACATTCAACTCTGGCTGAGTCAAGAGTACCACAGTCGGATTTTCCTTTCCAATACGATTTACTGTAGAATTTAGACAGCTTTGGATAACAATATACAACCAGCAGTCTATTAACCATATTTTGTATACTAGCAAAATCGGCGAGCCTCGCAGGGCCCCATGTTGTTATACAATAATCAGTAATTGAACATACATAAGCATTAATTAGAACAGTCAGCATATGTGGAGTCAATTTTCTTCTGTGCCTATTTAACATTCCTACGTTCACACACACGCGTTTTTTAACATATTCAGCATGCTCTCTAAAGCTAAAATGCTCATCAATAGGTTGGGTTAACCCAACCATACCTAAACACTTGAAAACTGAGACTCTCTCGATTACATGATTGTTAACAGTTAGTGGAGTTAAATTGTTAAAGTCAATTTTACATTGTGATTTCTTAACAATCATATATTTAGTTTTTTCATAATTCAAAATCAGCCCCTTTTTAGGAAGCCATGCATCAAGATTACTCATAACACCCGTTAGGTTAGTACATCTTCCGGATCCGATCCGCTTACATAAATTGATGCATCATCAGCAAAAAATGTATACATACAATCTAATAAAACCTCAGCAATGTCATTCAGAAAAAGAACAAACAAATGTGGCCCTAAAACAAAGCCTTGTCCGATGCCTCTATTCACTAGGAACGCTTTGGATACAAATTTTCCTAACTTAATAAAATATTTTCTATTTTTAAGGTAATTAGATATAAGTAATAACAACTTCCCTTTAATTTTATAAATGTCTCGTAACATAGTGATTAATAGATTGTGAGAAAGTGAGTCAAACCCTTTTTTCAGATCTATAAATACAATCATGATGAAAGTATTGGGTTTATCGAGTTCATTGTAAATATTTTGTGTAAAACAAGTCATAGCTGTAGTACATGATCTACCCTTCCTAAAACCATGCTGTTTTTCATCTAGTAAATTTAGTTCATTAATTTTAGACAATAATTTATCCTTAAGTACATATTCAAACAACTTGCTTAATGAGTGGAGTGCGGAAATAGGACGATAATTATTAGGAGAGGTTAAACTACCCCAGTTAAACTACCCTTATTTTTATACAATGGTAAAACAAAGGCCTCCTTAAATCTAGTTGGATAATCAGTCGTTTTAAAAATTGTGGTGAAGAATATACATAAAGGTACAATAAGGCTAGGTAATAAAGGTTTTAACATTTTAAAAGGTATCTTATCCGCATCTGAGTACTTCGGTTTCATTTTGGAGATGGCTTTAACAATTTCTTCTTGGCTGACAGTAACAACTTCAGAATCCCATACTGCGTCACTAATCAAATTATTGTCCAGCTCCTTTTTTGCAAGTGCGGGAGTGTCGTCATTTAAAATAAAAGTATTACATAAACTAGCAGAGATTTCATTTTTACACGAAATTAACTTGTCATCGCTTCTTAAGTAAGGTATCGAGTGCTCTTGCCTAATGTCTTTACCAGTCAATTGATTGAAAGTTTTCCAGATAGATTGAGAGTCGACTTTAGCAAATTGTTGCCTAAAATAGCGTCGTTTTTTCTCAGAAACTCGATTTTTTACATAATTACGAAAACGATTATACTCACGTTTGAGTTCTGGACTAGGATTTGTGTCAAGTGTGTTTTTTAATTTGTTGCGTTCCCTAATTAATTCTAATAGCTCGCAGTCCATCCAGTTAACTGAATTGCCCTTGATTCTCTTCTTTGTGATTGGACAGATCTTATCGAGAAAACTTAAAATAGTTGATTCTAAATAAGTCAGTTGTGAGTCAACATTATTTAGTTCTTGTAAAATACTCCAGTCCTATTTTTGTAATTGTTTGCCTAATAATACAGGGTCATACTTTTTCCAAGAAGGCAATTCAATAATTTTGGATGGTTTCTTTTCTTTTTTACAATTCATAACAAAGAATGTGAAACGGTGTTCAGACGTTGTGAGAGAAAAAGCACCTGACTGCTTGACCTTAGAAGGAAAGGATACATATATATGGTCAAGAAGGGTCTGAGAGGTAAATGTTACCCTAGTTGGAGTATTAATTAGTTGTGTCAAGTTTAAGCTATTTGTAAGATTGGTGAGACGAGTATTAGCTAATGAGTCAGATAGTAGGTCGATGTTAAAGTCACCTAATGCAACGTAATCTACATTGTCTTTACACACTAAGTGAAGTAGTGATTCATAACAATCAATAAAATCTAATTTAACAATGTGTGGTGGACTATATACTAAGATTACAATAATTGGCTTAGAAAAATTCGGAAATATTTGCACTATGTTGATTTCAACTTCAGGAGGAAATTTGACGTCGTAGTGGAGAGGAAGAAATCGCATGTTTTCTTGAATATATATTGCACAACCACCTCCGGCACGATGTAGTCGATCAAATCGCAATAAACGATACCCGTCCACGTGTAATTCATTCCTTTCAATTCCATCTTTGAGTTTAGTCTCGTTGATTACGCAAAATAAAAAACGTTCGGTCATTAGAAATTGCCTAATTTCGTCAATTTTCCCAACAATACTGTTAATATTTATTTGTCCGAATTTCTGACCTTTTATGAACGCTGGAGGCGGATTGCGTTCAGGTTCGGATTCGGAGTAGACTTCGTGGATCGTAGTAGCAGATGAATTTCCCAATGATATGTCCAGGAACGAAAGGTGATCATCATGGTCATCCTCATCATTATTCATACAAGGGGGACATATCCAGTCTGGCTTGACGTTCCCAATTTTGTACCCGACAGATAGTTTCCCAATATTCGGGTGGCATGTTTTATGGTGTGGTTTTTTACAGGATGAGCAGAGCAGTCTATATTGTCTTAGTCCAATCCTCATGTGGCAGGTTTTGCAATTTAGGTTGGACATTTCGGAGAGAAGGGGGAGGGGGAGGGGGAGTAATAAAATAATTCAGAACCTCATATTTCCATTCAAGTTGTTATATTCAAGTAAGAATAAGAATACGAATACTTGCCCCGACAGAGCCGGGTGGGGTGGCAGCTGAGCAAGCTGTGCAGTGTGTTCCTATCAGCGCAGGACCACCCCCCGGGCTTTTAAGAACTTTGGCGAAACTGTCCAAGGTCACGATAAGAGGGAAATCGGCCGGTGTTCTGTGTAATGTTGTGGGGATTAAAAAGGGATTCTTTATCAGGGAGTTTAGGAGGATTTGGAGATTGGGCGGTGTGGCTGATTTTGAAAACGGATTTATCCGACGTATTGAAATTGCAGGGGGATGAAATCTCTGGGTTTTGAGGGGCTCCGGTGACCTCAGAAAATAACTTCGAAGTCAGTAGAACAGTGAAATTTTTTCTCGTTCAGATCGAAATCTTTTGAATAAATCTGCTTTTGTTGTTGGATAGGGAGGTTTATAGGCAGCATCATTTAGAATGAAACCATGCTCTCGATTGGATTCAAATCTGATGAATTTCCGGGCCAAATACCTTTTTCTTAGACGTCGAAAGGTAGCTCCTCCAAAACGGTACTGACAATTTTTGAGTTTAGTTGTAGGGCACCATCTTGTTGAAATGTTGCTTACCTTTGATTGGGAGATAATCCTTGACTATTGAAGTTCTGAATGTATATAGACAATATTTTGTCGTTGTAATATTGGGGGCTGACCGTACCTCCTTCCACAAGCTGGAGTTTGGTGACCCCTTTTGCACAGAAACCGCCGGCTACCTTAACTTTAAGGCTATGGTTTGGGCGTAATTTTTGAGGAACCGATTTCGGGTCTTCGGTTTAGTATGTATCATTTTGTTTGTTACCAGATGAGAACACCTCCATCAAAGTCTCATCAGTGGAAAAAATGTGGGACCGTTTCTGCTGACCTCGTTTTCCGCACGCCAAAAACCCTGTTTCCTTAACAAATTCTTCAAATTTCATCCGACCTTGAATATTCTTTTGACTGAGAAGTGATTTCACATGTCGCCTATAGCTACGTAGTCCTTCCCCATGATTGTTGTTTAACCTAAGTCCGAACCGCCCATCTGCTTACAACCTTTTCCTTCTCATTACACCGTTTGGATTAATTTAGTCATTTGACAGTTTTTCTCACTGATGCACCAATTTTCAATTTTACATTCCTTGTAATTTGTGATTTTGTTGTTGAGGACAATACTCTGGATCTTCCTGTACTTGGTTTGTCGTCCACGGTCGCTCGGCGACACCACGACTTTACCGTGTTCAAGGAAACTCCTAGTTTTCGAGAAATTTGGGAGAAGCCCCACCCCCGACCAAATAGTGTTTGGATTTGAACTTTTTTTCGTCACGGGCCCTCATATTGTTGGGTTACAAAATGCAAAAAGAATTACTGTTTTATCTTGAATAGTTTACGAGAAAAAATTTTTTTCCAAAATAAAAACCAGGCTCTGCCTGCCTGTCAAGAACTTTAAGCCCACTGTGTATTATTATCGTCCAACTGTTACCTGACCTATTCACGTTTGTACAAAATTAGTTGGCAAGGGAATCGTAGAATGTATATTTAAGATACATATTTATCTCCAAAAAAACTGCCAGAAAAAAAATTGTTCTAAACTCCCTAAATTTTGTGTTTTGAGATATTTCAAAACTCTGTAAAAATGCCAATTGATGGCACAATTGAAGGAGGATTGTGTGAATATTCTTCTCATGTATCTAGCTATCACAAATATTTCAAAATCAAAGAAAATACATGCCACCTAATGCCACGTTAATATTCAACAAAGTTAGTGAACTGGAAGTTATATCTGCGTTATATAAGTTACAACTATTGTGAATCATTGCGACCTGGCTGACTGAGGCATCCAATATAGCTGACCAAATCACGAGCGTCACTCTGCACAACCCCACAGCCAGCCCCACGCTCGTCACTAAAAGCGAAATATGTAGTTTAACCAAATGCTATTTTTACACGGAAATTTTGTTACATTCCCTGAATACAAGTAAACAAATACGTCTATTGAACAGTCATTTCTGCGGTTCTTGGGGGATATAACTTGATTTTATTAATAATTGCGAGCTTTCAACGATCCACTGTCGTCTTCATCAGGCATGTAAATAATATCTAAATACGTCTATTGTATACAGCGAGATGGGTAGGTCCAGGTAACAGATACCAAGCGCCCCTACTTAGTCAGTGGTATCAGTGGACTTGTTGAGTAACTAAAAAACTTTTTTCAGCTATATCTAGTTTCAAATTAAGTAGGATTATGTAGTAAGTAGGATAATTTAACACTACATGGGAGTAGAAAACAATTTGAATAAACTCGAATAAAATAAAATTTTGTGGGAAGCCTTGACACAATGTTCGGTATATTAAGTGTTAGAAAAAAGTAAAGATGACTTGACAATTATTAGATTATACGTAACGGTGCAACGACTTCAATGCAATCCTTTAGCATTGTCAAACTATTAAAATAAAAAAAATCGAACCCAAAAAATTGCCAAGAACGGTTTTATCCTCAAAAACTGGCACAATTGATTATGTTCTGACGCATAAATTAATTACACTGGTTCAATAACCCGAATGGCGGAAGTTATTACACATTGCGCAAATACAACAGAAAAACAAGTCTAAAGCAAATAAGATAACTAAAAGGGTTGTACATGCGGCATCTTACTTATTTCAGTCTTTCGTATGTAATCTGTTTAACTTCAGCTACAGATAATTTGTTATCAATTGTTATTCAATGAATTAAACCACAACCCATTACGAGTTCATAATAAATTTGTAAAGTAAACTTAAACATCCTGCCTCGATTGTGTTGGTGTAAAAATTATGCAAGTGAACCAACAACTTATCCATTTGCATAAATAGGCCTACCAATTTTCACATCGTCACTCATATCCCATTGTTACGAAAGGTCCTAATCTTGAATTACGCCAAAAGACAACCTACAAAAGTCGTAAACACGTTCTTAAACGAACTCACTAATAACTGACTTAAATAAAAGGTAATAAAATTAATCTAAATTGGTGTAAGGTCTTATTTTAAAATTGGATATTAAATAAACGGTAATTGATTATATGAATAGTTAATAAATCATCAGGGTACTCGTATGATCAGTTGCTCCTTAATGACTATGCTTTCATGAAAGTTTTACTACCGACGGCTAACCAATTTTGAACAATTTCATGTATTTATGGTAGAAATTTTAAAGATTGTCGCTTTTTTTTAAAGTGGTCAATTTTTACAATTATCACTAACCGGTCAGTTTATGAGCGATTTTTAAAATGAAAACGGTTTTGCAAACCTTGGACCATAGCGAGACTTATGCATTTAAATATATTTAAAAACATCTTGCCACACCCCCTAGAAATGTAGGTCACAAGGTCAGACAAATCTAAAAAAGCGATTATCTTTAAAATTTCTACCATAGTATTAATTTATGTGTCAGATAATCAACACATTATAGTGACATTATAATGATCATTAGAAAATATTCTCAAGAGTGTAGCGATTACATGAATAAAAGATTAGATTAGGGGCTTATAAACACTTTACTGATAAGTCAACGGACCACTTACAAGTCATTTTCAATGATATATAATATATATGTTAAAAATTACTTGTACGAGATCGATTAACTTATAAGTGAAGTGTTTATAAACCCCTATTAGCCTCTTTCACTTTTGTACTTTTTATATTTAGGAATCAAATTTTACACCACCAAGTATGGCTAAAATACCACAAAGAAAATTTATTACAAAAATATTACAAAATCCCTTCCTGCCATATCCAAAGCTTGATGAAAATTTCACTGGAAGAGATACCCTAATCGCTGGTGTGATAACAGCTCTCTCCTTAGAAACTAAGGAACCTACGCATCATCCCATCAGATTCCCGTTCGTTTGCCTGCACGGGCTTGAAGGCCATGGAAAAACGAAAGCTGCACAAAAAATCGCAAGCGTTTGCATCGAGGACAAAATATTTACCGATATTGTTTGGGTTTCCGCCGACAACCCGGCCGGAGTTGAGGATAAAATACGAAACGAATTGGATAGGCTGAGATGCAAAGGTTTCGAGGAAGTCGAAGGAATATTGCTCGCCAACAAATTCTACGACTTGTTAAAGTTAATGAATCTGCGGAAGTTTCTTCTTATTTTCGACAATATTGTTGGATATAACGAGCTAGAAAAATATTTCCCGTTGAACAGAGATGTGAAAAATATCGCTGTTTTAGCTACGTCGATTGAGAAGATTATCGTTCCGGCTGCAGTAGGGATAATCGATAACTTCAAAGTGAATATTTTTGAGGAAAGCGAGGCTTTTAAGGTGGCTTCAAAAATATTGCAAGGTATTAGCATTAATGTCATATAAGGAATTAAGTGTATTTACATAATTTCTACGTACATTAACAAAATTTTAGGTGACCAAAACGAAATCATATTATTTATTACATTTCTTTAACACTTTGTTGCACCAAATTACTTAATTTGATCCGAGGCAATATGATTACTTACATAATTCCAGGCGATGATGAGAAACACGAAATTTCTCTCCTTATCACGGAATCTGGACGAATACCGTTACTTCTCTGTATGATGTCAGCAACCATTTCCAGCTTCAGGATATTCCAGAAAATGTTGTAAGCATAGTTTGCCTTTTCATATTTCTCTAGTTTAAAAAACTTTTCCCATGCATATCAAGGAACTTGAAAAAATAAGAGGTTAATAAAAATTATATATATTTCCTTATATTGTAAATTATATTCTTATTTAGGAACCTCGAAAGCTATCCATACACAATTCATCAGTATCTTCAAGAAATGAAGGGTAAGTCAGAAAATCCCGTGGACAATTTAAACTTATACCCATTCAATACAAAATTAAATACCTGTGTCAAAATTGCTCGAGACAAATTACGCGAATCCTGCTCCTTGTATACCCCAATCACTTTACATTTGCTGGAAAGGTGCGTCTATTTTGGAACCGATTTCCCCTTCAATTACCTCCGTAAGCATGTCACCACTATCAAGACGGATATACAAGACATTCTAGATCAACCCTTTGACCCTTATACATATCCTATTGAGCTATTCAAAAATGCGATTCGCTTGCTCGCAAGATTTTTACTGCTCGACATCAAACCTACTACTTCGCCGAATAGATATATATTTGGAATTGACGTAAAAGTGCATAGCTTGATTGGAGGAGCGCTGAGGTCTCTACAGGTTGAGGAGAACCAAGAGCACGACATATTAGAGGATCTCATAGGCTGCAAGGATTATCCGGAATCGGAGTTTAATGATGGAGATAGAGTGCAATTTTCGGATGAAGCTAGCGTTCACTCCAAATCAGTCGCTACCCTTTGGTCGCATGCAGCAAAATATGAAGACCTTACTAGGCTGGTCGCATTTACTTTAATGTCGCCAAGTTATACATATGTATGTGTCCGTAGTCAAAATTTTATTAATCGACCCTTTCATCCATAAGCACTGTGTACAAAAATGGGTCTACTAATCAGGTCAATGAATATTCCATGAGTAAATTTTTAACGTGTCATGAAAATTCGGATAGCTGTGACCCATCTTACCAGAAAAAATCAATCCTGCGTTACTACAATTTCAATATGGAACATCAGACTGAAAATATCTTATTCGAACGTAAGTATGTATGTACACATCCATATTCGTGTATGATACAGAACATGTTGTTTGGTCTGTGTGTTACAATAACACATTTTTTTCGTGAATTTATAATGAAAAAAGAGTTTAATTGTTATATGACGATCATACATAGTTCAGTACATAAAATATCTGCCATATAGAATTTGCTAAATAACTAAGGTAGTATAACATACTTGTAAATAAATGCAATGTTCTTACTTTACTCTAGGAAATTCTTCATGGAAAAGGGATCCCTTAGAGCAATGATTGACTACGGATTTCTTAACCAAGTTCGAAAAGTTGCTGACTCACTTGGAGAAAAAGATGCAGCCGACAAAATTCTTCTCCTTGAACCAATACCAGTCGACTCGATAGCGCCTCGCAATGGGTTACAATCCGCACTTAAAAACGATCTAAACGGACTCGGCCGACAGTTTATACGACTACTAAAAGACAACCAAAGTCATATTTCGGAATCACTTTGGACCAAAGGAATAACAGACACTGTAAGATTTTTTATAGCGAGACTTGATCTGGAGGTGGTAAAAGAATTGGTGGAAGAGCTAGAATTGGATGCAGATTTTTTTTCAAGTTCTAGCAACACGGGATACAATAACAGTTTATTCATCATTATTAGGAATGTTATTTTCGGACATAGGGGGATGATTATTTTCAATAACTTCAATTTTATTGATCAAGCTTTCGATGTCAGAACCGTACATCATCATCAGGATCGATTGAAAATTAGAAATTCAAAATGTTTATTCATCGCATAGGTCGGATTTTCTTGATATTTTAGTAAACTTCGGAGCAGACTTTCATTACAGAAACCCCCTCGATTTAAGAAATGCGTGGCATTACGCAGTTGGGTTTGGGTTCGTTTATGAAAACCGTAAGAATTCAAGGAAACCCGATATTGTTAAAATCCTAGAGGAAAACAACGTCCAACCAGATGTGCTTGATACAAATGGCGATACGTTTCTCCACTCTATGTTAAAAGGCGACTATTTTCGCTACATGGTGGAATCGAATCTTACTGAACTAGTGAAATCCATATCGCCACATAACTTAATTAAAATTCTTGAAGCTAGGAATGGAGATGGGTTGACAGTTTTGGAGTTGGCGGTGGAAATTCAGCGTCTGGAAACTCCTTGCAGAGTTAACCCACCAGATGAAATACCTCCAGAGAATGAGACGGGAGTAGGACATGTCAAGGAAATAATAACCCCTACCGAAAGTCTTTTCTTTAATTATATACACGAACTTAGTGACGATGAAACCAATCCCCGTGTCATAGTTTATGATATATTCTGGCCTTCAGAAACCGGGCCATGCAACGATAAACCTGAACATACAGACGATGGTATAGCTTCAAATTGTGAATTTCTTGATAACCCTCCTTCCAATATTCGAGTTGTGATTAAATTCATGAAGAAATTTAAAAGTGAATGACGTTATGCATATATTAGCTACACCCTTATGATTATTCTATATATAATCATCGATATGTCACTATATCATGTTCGTGTTAATGATCTGGTAATAAATTAATAATATGTAAATATGTACGTGAAATTGCTTAAAATTGTTTATCTCTCGGCATGAAAATACTGATGATTACGGCACACTCATTATGGAATAACGAATAACTGCCCCTCCGACTACCAACATACCTCAGTAAATCACATATATACTTATAACTGTTTTCCTATTATAATTAAGTTATACCATTAGAGTTAATTTAATATCGAATTGAAAGCGAGTAAACAAGGCATACTACCCATTAAAATTAAGTTCGTTACCTGTTGTTTGAATTGGAAGCTAGTCATTTCACCTACCCAAGCACGCGTGATTGTTGTGGGTGGTCTTTACGCATAATTAAAAATGATCACCTCTCTTAACAATGGGTTGCACATGAGTAACGATAAGTGAAAATATGTGGTCCTATTTATGCAATAAGAAATGTAATTGGTCTATTTTCGTATGTACGTTTCATGGCTACTACAGTACACCAGCACAAGCATGGCAGGATGTTTAAGTTTACTTTACAAATTTACTATGACCTCGTAATGGGTTGTGGCTTCATACATTCAATGAGTAGTAATTGACAAGCAGAATTTGTACAGGCTGACTATGACTTTATAACTCAACGCCGTTGAGCGTCCGAAATGCCCACAATGGCCAAAAGTGTCCAAAATATAAAATGGGGCAATGCTAAACATGTTACTTATTCTTCAAGACTTGCTAACGTATTTATTTGTAATCTCTTAATCATTTCAGGCATTCTGATTTGTACTCGTAACAGAGCATATGTTTTAATAGTTAGATTGATATTCAACTTCAGTGCGAACAATACAAATAATTTATTCGACAACTACTTTGTAACCATTACCAAGGGCAAGATAGCTCACAACCAAAAACAATTCCCGGTAAGGCAGACAATACACCAGTCGTACCGATGGGATCCCCATTATCTCCACCTTTGGCCAACCTGTGCCAAGAAAATCCTGAAAACACCATTGTATACAAGGACCCGTTTTTCTACTTTTGGAAACATATGTGATGACACATTCTTACTTATAAAAGAAAACAAAAAAGATATCATCCTCCAAAAACTGAACAACTTCCATCCCAAAATCCAATTCACTATTGAGGAGGAATCTAATGGTCAACTCCCATTTCTGGATTTCCAAATCTACAGAAAATGTGGCAACACTTTTGGCCACAAGGTGTACAGAAAGAAGACGCATAGATAAGTACCTCAATTTCACTTCATCATATGTCCCACAAAGTCTCAGTCATTGACGCTCTCTGTTACCGAGCTATGAAATTATCTGTCAAAGATTCATTTCCATCTGTATTATCTCACATTACAAATGTTCTTAAGAAAAATAGCTACCCATCCAGTCTAATTTTTAGAAGAATTTCAACTATGAAACTCAAATTGCGCCTACCAAAATATTCCCCATCAACTGAGGAACCAACCCCCAGATTCATGTTACCCTTCTTAGGATCCGATTTGGATATATTTAACACCATTAACACCATTATTTAACACCATTGAAATCTCTATCAAATATATTTGATAGAGATTTCAATTATTTCGTAATAAATAGTCTTCAACAAATTTTGTAAATAGTGTTATTTCTATAATCGAGTGGGTGATGTCCTGAATACGAATAATTGCAGTATGTACATTACATATGCATATATTATTATGTATTTCTCTTACTAATTCTGCATCAACCTGAATAATTTAAAACATTCAAGGTAAATATGTTGTTTCGGAATTCAGTATCCAGTGCACTTAGGTTGATTCAGAATTAGTACGATGATATGCAGCTACATAAATATGCGTGATAATTGACCTAGTAATTAATAGTAGTGTTACAGAGTGAGGAGTGTTAAGTTCAATTTTCATGAGTAGCGTTAAGTTTAATAATTTTTAGAAAACCAAAGATTGCTCTTCGTCAAATGATAGCACATATTGTAGCCTATGGTGTTGTATATATTTGGTAAAATTATCAGAAAAATCTATCAAATACAAAGTTTGTAATTTAAGTTTAAAGTTTGTTAATGTGTCAAATCCCGTAGTGATAAGTTTAATTATATTTGTAGGCCAAACTAAGAATAGCTCTTGGTCAAATGATAGTGGATATTGTAGTTTAGGACCTTGTGTGTATGTAGCAAAAATAATTAGGGAAATCTGTCCAATACAAAATTAGTTATATAAGTTTAAAGTTAAGTAAATCTAGTGTGGTCCATAGGTGTGGCGCATAGTGTGGTCAGTAAGTGCGGTCCACTGTGCAGTGTGTCATCTCACCCCGTAGTTTGAAGAAGGAGGGTTTGAAAGGAGACGCGTAGTGAGAACGACAAGGGAGAGAGTGTGCTACCTCCATTCCACTGTTAGACACGAGAGAAGACGGCCACTAATGAAAGTGTTCTTCAAATAAATTAGTTAGGAATCAAATTTAAGTAGCAATTAGTTCCTTTTTTCATTGTTGAACTGTAGTAAGTAGTGTGCTTGAATAAAACCAGTTAATTTAGCTAAAGTGCGCTGATTCTGCGACTTTATTGGCCTTATTTCTGCAACAAGTTGTACAACGTGAAAAGAGGGACATTATTACTTCGTCATTAAGTCATCAGTTCGCGTAAACTTTACGGGCCGTTCGGATGCAAACCTAACCTAACCTAACCATACGTTTTGAAAACTGAGCTATAGTGACCGGCGCCGTAACAAGTAGGGTTGCCATTCGTCTTGCCAACCATCCTCCCATGGCAAGACAATACAACTGGCAAAACGATATTTGCAGCCCAGTCTGAGTCATGTATTGTATCGATGGACTGACAGACCTTACACTGTAAACTGTTACCCATTTTCTACACGGGCTATAGCCTAGTTAAGACTATAAGGTGTGTTTAAAGGAAAAGTTCTTTTTTGTGTTAGTCGCAGTTGTCTCTAATGAACCATTTACTTTTCCCAGGAAAAATGGGACCCTTGGAATATTACACCCTTTATAAGTATAAAGTTTGAACTATTTTCAAGTAATAAGGATTGGGTCGAACGCTTTGTGGAAATCAGTTGACACAAAAGCACATATCATCGCATTTTATGATATTCATTGCGAGTTTCACAATCATAAAAAAACAAAGCTGTTACAAAAGGCGATATGACATTATAGGACCTACATTAACAACCCTGTATTTCTGGAACCACCTTACCTATTAAACTGACATTACATAAACATGTTCACTAAGTCAGTTGCTACATACTTATATTCCCCTCGTCGAAATATTTCGCTTACAATTTGGTCCCAAAATAAATGTAGTATTGGAGGCGTCTCATTTTATAGTTTCCAATGGTTTTTCACGATTTCGTTGGACAAAAAAGCACATTCATTGAGTGAAATCGACCTAATTTTGGATTCATTCAGTTACACAATAAAGTATATTACAAACATGACACCTTCAGAAATTAATGGACTTTAACAGACACATAATAACCAGCCGAAAAGAAAATTCTTCAAAACAGCAATAGATTAGATAAATCAATAAAGTGCATTGTAAACCTAACCCAGGCAGTGTAAAATCGCTAAGAAGCTGAATTTCTATCGTACATACGTTATCGTTACTAAACTAAAAAAAATTAAAGTAAAAAGTTCACTACAAATATTCTTTTCACCCCCTCAAATTTTAAAATTGGGCAAATATGATCACAAACGGTAGGCGTCGTTTAAGCCGTTCATATTAGTTGGTATGCGAGAATTTGTGACCATATTCTACGTAGCATAAGTTTATTTATCAGATGCTACCAGGACTTGGATGATATGCTATTCAAGGGAACTGGAAAGGCCAACGAAATTTGTGTAGCCGAGATGTGAAAAGTTTTCGGAAACAATTATTGTTGGCGCCAGAAAATCAGGCTATGGGTTGCCCCCACCTATTAAAATACCCCGAAACTCAAAATAAATTTTAAATATACGGGGGTGATCTATTTCAACCGTTGTTTGACGTTGAATTTGAAGGGTTTAATCCCACCACAATAAAATGGTCGCGCAATTGGGCACATAAATATTTAATACTGCTTCTTCTTGCTAGTTGTGGCCCCAAGACCAGAAGTCAAAGAGATCCACAAAAAATATCGAGAATACCCAAATACATGTACTATCTATTGATACATCCCCCATGATTTTATTTGAATTTGGTTTCATACAGCAAAACATTTTCTAATAGGCATCTCCAAAATTAATGCGTTCTGGAAACTTGTTCGACACGGGTTTTGGACAATCACTTCTCAAAAGTGCCATGAGCTATTTTTGGTCTGTAAAAAACGTCTTCACACAACTGGCCAGATGCATGGGGAGTAGTTTAAACAAATTGGGGATATTCAAAAGTATCGCGTCTAAGGTCAGGTAAGGTCCAGAAAGTGGTCTTATAATCTTCTCTCGCCTTTACGGGTTGAGGCACTAACATGGTCGCTCTAGTCCGTGTCTCATTACTAATTACGCACTTTAGCTAGCCGCAAAATTTATGAATTACCCTGTAAACAAACTCAATACCGACATCATAAAATTTATTCGAATTAAAAATATTTCGAAATGGTGCGGAAAACTGACCCCGAAGTGGAAAATGCTGCGAAAGCACTTTGCACAGCAGGAATTGCACCTAAAAAATTAGTGGATCCACTCAGACTTTCAAAAATTTTAATCTTCATGCCTACATTTATTAGAATAAAAAATCCACAACAAAAAGTAAGTAAACAATAGAAATGACTTTGCCACAGGCGTTTAACTCAAACCCCCAAAAAGTGAGAAAACCGACGCTCAACAAAAAAATTGACCGTGATGTTATATAAAAATATCGGGCGATGTAACTTCAACTTACAAGGAAGTATTAGGGCTCCTGAAGGACGATAGGCCTTTTTATTAAACATAATGTAGGTTCGAAGGTCTTTAAACGGTCCAAAGTGCACGCTCCTAAACCTCGTTTAAAGAAATCCAAAAGACAACAACTCGAAAGATGTACCGGGGTCACCTTGCCGGAAACAGATCCCAATTTTTTGTCACATTGTAAGAGATATTTCTATTCATCGGAAATGCAAAAAGGAATGAAGAAATCACATTTCATTGCCTCGAAGCAAGATGAAGTACTACATTAGTAAAAAATTGGAAAAGTTGTCTGTCGCGCATGTGGTAGTTGGTGTAATAAGTGGTCGTGGAATACTCCCTCTTGTTCGATTCTCAAAAGTTTTGAAGATAAATGTTACGTAATATGTATGCAATACTTTATAACTGATTTCGGAAGAAAATATTGAAATGCTCGACTGTGGTGAGACCCACTAGGCACCAATTCATAGTGATCCATAGCCGCGTTCTCCAGGACCTAGCGTCTCACCACCCAGAACTCATCCAGTTTTTAAAAATATTCGAAATAGAATGTATCTCAGGTAAATACATACTTTCTGCGTCCTGCATTCACCGTGTTTCTGTATAATTTCTAACAGAAGAATGGCGTTCTAAAGAATGAGGGTAAAATTTATTTATGTGTTTTGCAAATTAATTCATCAAGAGAGAAGAAAAGAATCCCCTGGAATTTACATTAAATAGTGAGATTCTTGGAAACGACAGCTTCTTTCTATATCAAAAATGGATGCGGAACACGATGAGAATGTCAAAAATATTAACTAAAATGTCCTTTGCCCACAAAATCTAGGTTTATAAGAGCGACAATGTTACTGGCTCAACCTCTGTAGTATGTAAATTACTTATGTCTATAAAAACTTGTAGTCACCAATTTCGTGTTGCAATTTACTGAACACATACATCTGACAAAACTTTAAAGTCCTTCAACCTTCAAACTTTAAAGTGATCGTTTCTCATACATTGGCGAGACCTACAATTATTTAAAAAAACTTTTATAGCGATTTCACAATTACATAGCCTAAATATTTCCTTGATTTTATGCCCTACAGAAATCCCCTCTTAGGAATCTAATTCTTCAGATATATTTACGCGTACGTTATAAATATGTAGCTTTTCGCCTTTGGTCCTCCAAAGTATTTACCCAAAAATCTCCAGGTATCAATTTATGCAATAATGCTGAATCTTTTCAAATCTCAAGTAACCTTCTACACTCTACTCCTCTATTCTAAGGAATTACATTGTAGTTCAATTTTTCACCAACAAAACGGAAATAATTGTACCCTAAATCTACATGTAACAAGTGGAAGTAATTTATCCATGCCGAGTAGTAATTTTACAAACGATATACTTTCCCCTAACTTCATATATCTCATCTTCAAAGTTGAGAATTATCAAAAAGAACAATGCCGTCACTCTAGCTCAGTCTCTGACAGGTTTTTACAATATTGCCATATATTATTAGTCGATCTTTCACAAAATGAGTCACAATCAGTCAATGAAAGGAAAATAAGTAACACTCTATTAGTTCAAAATTCAATGCACTTGTTCTTATTGTCACAAATTCCTTAAGTTCAAACAATACATTTAAATTCGAATGGGATGGCAAAAATCTAATGCTAGAGTATTTGTTATCGAAATACAGTTTGACAAAAATAATGACAACCTGTATTATAAACCTTCAATTAGCTATGCTTGCTTTCTATGCAGTCAAGTATTAATCGGGGTATCTTCAATTCAACTCGATACGGTCGACCTGGACTTTAAACATTTATGGAAACCATTAGTAGTACTAATAAATACGCAGCATCCAGCGAAATGCGTTACAAGACCGGGTCAAGTTGGATTACCTATGTGCAGGTCATCTTACAGTATATAATAGCTTTTTATAGTTATAAATTATAATTAAATAAATTAATTCATTAAATAAATAAATTATAAATAAATTATAGCTTTTTTATCTGTTTTAAACCTTAAAAAGCAGTCGTCCCAAACTACTACATGCTTTTCGGTCAGATCAGCGGGGATATCTGAGAAAGTCTGTAAAAACACTACCTCTGGATGCTGTAACTTCAAAGTATCATACGCAGGCTGCCAAATTGTGAAAATGAAAAATATTTTCTTTGATTTTCTCTCCAAAAACCGCCTCTTGGTTATCTGGGTAGAGACAACGGATCAAAAGCTGTGTCTTCCCACTTCCAGAAGGCCCGGAAATAATTAGAGACGAGCCAAATCTGAGTCGGCAATCAATTAGTTGCTCCATCGCACCATCGCTCCAGCGCAGTAAGGCCACACTGGCCATGTAGAGAAACTTTAGATTTTTCCACCTTTATAAAATTTCTGTAGTTAACCTAACCATCTTTCTACAGAGACTTCATCTCAGTGCGATTTGTGACTCACAAAGTTCTCTCTTTTATACCCACATGCCCCTCTCACCGCAAATTTCTGGGGCATTTCCGCATTCCCAAAGTTCCCATTATTTCTAAATGCAAACCCACACCCGGTCTGCATATGAATTCTCATATGCCCATTCACACATGCATATATGCGTGAGAGGATTGAATGTTTGTTTAATAGATTTCCGCGTCTGGTCTCAACATATTTAATAGCAATTATGCGGTTTTACAATTAGGACATACCAGTAAAAAATAAATCATGAATTGCCCCTTCCTATTTGCACAAGTGTCTTTCCATTTTATTCACGGAAGGACGTGAAATCTGCACATTACGCAAACATGACTGATTGTCGTAATTGTGGCATAAAATCATGTCAATCTAAATGACTCGAAGAAAAACAATACTCATTGAGGTTGATTGACAAACCACAGACTTTCATAATAATGTACATACATACGTATGCATACCAGCGCACATACTTCCTGGAATGAGGGGATGGCCTTGTTAAAGAATAGTATAAAAGGACGTTATTTCTACGCACTTCACCATCGTCATTCACATATTACATAAATAAAGCGCCTTTAGACGCTATGTGCAGTACATATGTACATGTGTAGTGTTTCTCCCATCACACAATAAAGAGACGAGGTCAAATGACTTTAACAAATAGCAGCTTTTTTTATCTCTCGATCAAGAGAGAGGGGTTTTGTTCAGTATACATAGCCTGCATATGTAATAGGATATGCCGCAATACAAATTTAGTATGATGTATCGTCATCACCACTTGTCTCAATATCCCAGCAACAGTATCAACCAACTCACTATGTCTCAACTTGTCTCAATATACCCATTTGTATGGTTGTGCTTTCTCCACGACTTTCTCCAGGCCATTAAACTGTCTATAATACTACTACTGTGACCGGGGTGGACTCCCCCCCACCCACCTAGACCCACTTGGTGTAGTGAAAGTGTTTTTGTGGGGGTGGACCTGCTTCGAGGGGGGTTTTTTCTGGGATTTTGGTGGCCCATCCATTCAACAAGTGGCAGTTCGCCCCCGACTTCCCTAACAACGGAGCCGGTTGCTAAGGCCACGATTTTCCTTGTGGATTCCCCCCCCCTTTTTTTCAACCCTTTTTTCAACCCGTGGAGGACGGAAAATCCCGCGACATCGGTCGCGAAGGGGTGTGGTCCCTGCGCCCACAGGGTCAGCACGGAATTTGAGTGTCTGACTTTGTTCGGGTTGGCCAGTCCCACGCACTTTAAGTGCCTTATCTTAAAATTGATCCTGTTCATGTGCTAGTAGTCTTTTTTCCACCATTGTTTGCGTTCAAAAACGTCATTGATGCGCCTATCTTTATAGCATTGTAAATATTACTAATATATGGATGGGTATGTATTTATGTGCATTAAAATGTGCTGCCGAGTGTGAGAGAGGTTGACCGGATGTGGGCGCATGGATGAGTGCTCCTGATTTGTAATGCATTGTGTGTACGTGGATACGATGATAATTTCACAATTATGACAATGCGACCAACTTCTTTTGAGCATCGATTAATTTATTCATAAAGGTGACGTCCACCACACCGTTCCTTGGGCGGCTTCATATTGCAAATATTGCGTCTATGAAGTGCCAACTCATTGCAAATTTTACCTGGGATTACAGGAATTTCATTATATAATACTTGCAGTCCCGGATCGTTGGTTTTCTTGAGGAGTTGCTTTGTTCGACACAAGCTCCTTGCAAGTTTTTCATCCAAGCTCTCCTACGGATTAAAAAATTATTATGAGCATGTTGCTTACATCGGGTCGAGAGTGCATCTCACCTTGGTATGTGAGGATCTGCCGTTCTGCAAACTACTTAATATTTTCGCAATCGTATCATCAAGTGAGGGAATGGTGGAAGTTGTAATTTTTGTCAATACAGGGGGATACGTGTTGTTTAACGTCATATTGGCATACGAGGGGATAACAATGGGAGTGATTGCTGTTGTTGTGGAAGAGGGAGATGATGTTGTTGTTGTCATCTCTGTCGTCGTTGATGTAATTATTAATATATTTTCTGAGATAATGGATGACGAATAGTCAGCCGCGGTCACTATGGTCGACGGGTGTGGAGGGGTGGTGGTGGTTGGACGGATTTCATGCATCTCCCTAGCATTTCTCGCGAATGGAATTACTGTTAACGTTTCATCCGTTGTTGGTGCAAGAAGAGGAGGAGGACGTGATGCTACTTTGGTCGCGTCCACTGCTGGTGGCGGGGTTGCTGTCTCCTCCTCTTTTGTTATTACAGTGTTCATTTCCGGTTGAGGGATTCCAAAAACGGAATTCAACTTGTTTTGCTCAACAGGATTCTGATGTACAGAACTTTGAGGCAAGAGTATTTTATTTGCAGCCAAGTCTGAAATTAGATGGAAATGTACTTTGCAATGAGCATTTGTACATGCATGATCTCAAATATTTAATAATTATAATACCTTTCTTGTACTGGTTGCACCTTCTTTCATTTCTATACACAATATTCACATGCTTTTCCACAGACTTTGCTTTTGCTATACAAGTGGGCCCAACCGTATCGAGTATAGCAAATACGCAGGATGTATCGGTTCGTTAAACACAGGCGATGCAATCAACGTTTGATAAATTGCATGCACCTGTGATTCCACAGTATGTACAAATTAAAATTATTAACCTGAACATTTTAATTGGGGTGAATCCTTGTATAATTGTGATAAGGAAATATGGTCTAGTGAACACATACTCATCTCTGTGAAGAATTGGGCAGGGCAATCTTTGGCTGACTATACAAATAACTCAAATTACATATCAGTGATACACATATACATCAGATTGCATATAAAGTGCAAAAATAAGCGAAAAATAAAACATTACACATTTTACACTCGAGCCACACACTATAGTGGAGAATACAGCCATTATTTTTAGTTCAGGCCTCGACACAGCAGAATTGGCGAAGATAATTAAAGCGGTCACATCGGCCCTTAGCCAAGAAAATCGAAGCCGAAATACGTTCTGGTTTTATAATTCACTGGATAGTGAAAAGAGCTTAAACCTCTGCCGAAAATACTCCAGAGGTTCAAGTGTATAAAAAAATAACCGAGCCATGGAGGCAAGAAAAGGCCGCGATCATGGAGTCGTCCATTATCAGAACAATAAAAATCAAACATCTCTATCCCCTACTTTCCAAGGATGAGGATTACCCAGCAAACTGTGGCAGCCAGCTTAAAAATGGTTAGAATAAATTGAACTACCAGAACTATTGAACTAGTGTAATTCCATTCCTTCAATAACTTTTTTAACATGTCCACGTTTTATAATTATAGGCTGCACTCGCATCATATTTAATTTTGGCGAGGACGCAAGCTTGACCGCGGAGGAATTTATCCGGAAATATCATCCCTCCATCACCCCACAAGAACTCGAGCGGTTGGAGAAAGAGTGTTACAATTTTGACGTATCTCAAATTACAGAGGAATCAGAATGGCCAGCATAAAAAGTTTTGCAGAAATGGTCTGGAATTTTTATACAGGGCTGGGAATTTATTGATTTTTGAGATTAAAGTTTAAAATTAAGATTAAGCCCTGGAGATTTCAGCCCTTGAGATTAACATTATAAGATTAAATTGACTACAGAGATAAATTAAATCATGATAATTTAATATCACCTGATGGCATAGATTAAAATTAATTAATCGAGATTAGTTTCAAAATTCTGATTTCTTATTTGCATGTGTATTTGCAAGTGAGAAGAGCTATGAAATTATTGTTCTTGAGCTTTGAGATTAAAAATTGAGGTTGAAAAATTTGTAATCCAGTCCCATGATATTGATTTCGTGAGAATAGGCATGCAAGATTAGGATTACAAGTTTGCGTTGATTGTTACGCGTCCTGCTGTGCAGATGTCTTAGATGACGAAGAAGGTTGATTCCATATTCATCTAATTTAGTTGTAATTTATTATTAGTAGTTTTTCTTATTTACATATTTGTAACATTTAAATAAGCAGAGCTATGAAATTATCATCATCATCATCATAATCATACTTAATAAATATGTATGTAGAACCCACCAGGCGGACTTCCGTGGATTGAGAGGTCGTCTGGTGGGTCGGCTCGGGGTGGCTCGGGATCTCCAGGTGGGAGCAGAAGAGGAGGAGTAGTCTCCTCTGCCAGAGAACTTGGGGGTGGATGAATGTCCACTTGGACAGTTTGTAGTGCAGGAGGAGAGGACGGCCGAGTGTTGGTGGGGGTGCGGAAGTCGGCGACAGAGGAAGAGGAGGATGAGGAAGAAGAAGGTGTGTTCAACTCCACCGGGACTTCAACCAGGGGGATTTCAATCCCAACGTGGGCAAGGTTCCTGGGGGGGAGTGTGTAGTGTGGTGGTGGCGGTGGCAAAACTAGATGAGGAGGAGGAGGGCTGGTTGGCCGTAAGTACGACCATGTCCATTTCGACATCAGCGACTGGCTGACTCCTCCACCATCTCAACAGGCGATTTAGGGGATTGGTGGTCGCCCTCAAATTCTGAAGAGGATTCCACTGGCGTACTCTACGCCAGAACCCCCTTAAAACACCCCACAGGGCCCTCATCCTCATTCTTTGGGTGGGGTTTCCAACAAGAAAACCGAACGTGAGGCCCAAGACCAAACAGCCCATTGCTGCAAAAATGTGCAAAAAAAGGTTGCATGAAATTATTATTATCATGTCTACGGTTCTTGGGGGATATAACTTGATATTATTAATAATGGCGAGCTTTCAACGAATTATTATTATTATTATTATTGTGTCACACCCACCACATATCAATTATGGTCACCCCAATCCAAAAATCTATCCCCGACTCTGCTTGCAGAGGGACTTGCTGGGGGCAAAAGTCATCTTGTCCCGGAAACACCAGGTACAAGTATTCCCCATTTGGGGCCGACCGCTCGGCGAAACACTTTGTCGTTGAGGACGTGGTCATCGTCCAAAAACAGGTCTTGGCACAAACCCTGCAGTCAATTAGGGAGGAGCAGCGATCCATTATATTTATTATAGTTATTATTTTTGTGGGAGGATGACTGCTCGGAAAGTAGGAAGATTTGGGTTTGGTGGAAATGATGATGATGATGATGATACAGTGAAGGTATTGTCATAATAGTACCTGTCCTTCAAGGAAACTGGGTAAAATGCATCTCTTCTTGTTACAAAATGTTTACATGCTTTATGGCAAATCGGTGTATGAAAATGAAATTTGTGCATTTCATTATTATTGAGCAAACAAAACTTTACTTTATTCACTTTTTGCTATTGTAATAATTACATATAAATATGTGGACAAATTTTAATGATACATCTATTACGTTTAAATTAGTTTTGAGGTATTTGCTCAAAATTAAATCAAATAATTATCATGCAGTATTTTGCTTATTATCTATAATCTGATTAATTCTTCACGTTGACTTTCTCTACCGGTGCCAACTGGGTTATTTGGTTTAACAAAATACATTTTTATAAAAGTCGAGACTGAAAAAAATGCAATTAATCCTAGAAAAAATAATAATTGATGGTCCAATTTCCCATTCCCCGAAAATGGTTGTTGACAGAGTGTATTTTAGTGACCAGCAAACCTCGTTACGGGACGGACATCAATTGCGGTGCAATCTCTAGTGTCACAACTTGGAGAAATATAAATATTCAGAAATTAAATAGGTTGAATTTAAAATTGGAATACAATACACACATACCTAAAGTCCACAATTGTTCCAAATTTGTTGTTCAGGCCAGGGTATGGAGAGCATAGATATTGTGGGGGCGCCCATGTGAATGTAATAAACTTGAAAAAGGTTTGATTTCCATATTGGGTGCAATTCTTGCACCATTCATCACTGAATGTAGTGTTCTTATATGCGGAAACGAAAGGAATTAATACACACATTAAGAAATACATTTTAAAATTTAGAAGACAGTCGAGTGCAACAACTCTGTAATGCTCTGCCATTACTACTATTTGTAGACTTTAAAAAACGAATGTTTCTGTAGAATCTTAAAACAATTTAATCGTTGACCTCGTGAGAGGCTCCAAACTGCTTCACAATGTCTGCAAGACTGTACCAAGACGCACGCTTGATCAAGAAGTAGAAGACGTAAAGGCTGCAGAAATTACTGTTTACAGACTGCAAACTTTTAGTGTTGCTATTACGAACGTTTTGTGGGAAGTGATAGCCGTAATGAGAATATGACTTTCCATAACTGCACCAAAAGTCTGAAACAATTTCGTGTCCATCAACGTATGTATATAGACCGGTTCAGTGCTGTCCATTTTTGTAGCTAACCAAATAATAAAACATTTAATGCTGCCACACATGATTTTTAGTAGAAACGCCCTATTACATACCTGGGGTCACTGTTAATACAAATTGCAGACGGAGTTTTCTCAAAATCCACGCTTGATATTTGATCTGAAGCTACAACATTGAAATTCTGTACGTTCAAGTCCTTCAGTAGGTAGTTGAGGCAGCAGTAGATAGTATCAGTGTCCATTCTTAAATTATTGAATGATCAGTATACACGTTACGTTGCACAAATGCATAAATATAACTATCCGCTAATGAAATGTAGTAGTGTTCGCTCCGTGGAATTTCAGACTCGATGAGTAGTTGCCAGTCGTCCTTGAATGTTGATAAGCTATGACACGGAATGTAGTGCTCATCAACTGTGCTCACGTCAGTCTGCCATAGGGAAAAGAGGTCCAGACTTTTACGAATTGCTTATCACTCCCAGTGTATGGTAGCTCCTGATTCTCCATTTTAGCAGCGAGGCTTCCTCTTTGGTTTTGGACAGGGGCACAGCTTCTTTTAACAGGACTTGACCTCTTCTGTGTAGGTTTCTTTTTCTTTGCCTTTGATTTTGCACTTGATCGGGTTACTGGTCTTTTTCTAATTGATGGCTTGGTTTTTTTCCTTGGTTTGGCTTTTGACGACGTTCTCTTCACCGCTGGGGAGCTGCTCGCAATCAAGTTTTTAATTGGAGCGCTAGGTTTTCTTGCCACTTTTCGTCGTCCGCCACCTCCTTTCTGAATGCAACCTGGTGCACTGAGGACATTTCCCATTCCAAACTGGTATTTATATAAATTTCTGGAACGTTTTTTGGGCCTAGTCACTCCTCCGGATGAAGAAAATGGCAACAGCTCGCCCCCAACTTGATCCATTTTACTTGGTAATGTATCAATATAGCACTTGTGATTTTCTGCACATTTGACCCTTCTAATATAAGTCATTAAATTTTTTGTCGTCTAAAATGAAGCACCGCCACCGTTGGTTGTGATGACGGGGGTGTTAATGGAGTAAAGGTTTCACAAATCTGTACATGCATGGACTTGTGCTCTTTACACGTCACTGGCAAGTACTGTACTGAATCAAAAACGATTTCACGCCGCCCTTTTATGTCCGATCTGGAAAATGTGGGTATCACCTTCCTAACGTTTTGACCAAATCGCTGACTTTCAATAATATCAACGACGACATGGGCAAATCGGGCAGGTGCCGCCGCATTAGGGATCGGCAGAGAGTCTGGCGCTGGATCATCACTTGGAATGGTAATTGTTGGTACGTTAAATTCGGTGGTATCCTCTGTAAATTCAAAGTTATCCTCCAGGTTTAAATGCTGGTTTAGGTGTGTTGAAAGTTTAAACTTTGCTCCCAAAGTTTTTAGCCGTATTTCCACCAGGTTGTCGTCATTCAGCAAGAATCCAATATTTATTCCTTCAGCAGCAAGCTTGTTTACAAGCTCGTCGCCCAACGCTTCAACGTCATATTCCTCTGGCATGTGCAGTTGACCGGCACTGTGTTTTAGAACATTTACAATTATTTTCTGCCCAACTGGTAACTGGTAATAGGCTTCTTGAAACGGAATGATGAACTCTGTAAAGCGTACAGAACCCTCATCCTGGAGAGTTTGTATTATTTGCATATAACTTTCGTGATCTGTCCACTTGTGCCGATGGCGTCGTTTCTGATTTCCAGGAAGTTGATCGTATTCCAGGTCTGGGGCTTCCTCCAGTCTTATACGGTCCAAAAATAAACTGGCTGCTACCGACATGGCGAAGCAGGAGCTGTTTGTGCGTATATTTATTATACCTTTCCGTGAAAGATGCTGCGGAGTGGGGATATATTTTCCCCCACGTTTCGACAAGAATTGTAGTGATTCTACTTGCAAATAGTGGATTCCATCTAGAGCCCACATGGAACCTAGGATTAAATAATAATAATAATTTTTAGTACTTTATGTTCGATTATTATTCTATTGAGAGTTTCATACCATGACTGGAGTACGCATTTAGTGACGCAGTAATATAATTGGCTGCGGTCACGATTACCTGCTCCACCAAAGGAGCTGAGGCTTGAAGTAGTGTTATAAAAGGGGTAAAGAAGGGAACCGTCTTACTCTCTAATCTCTCTAAATGTGCTATTGTGCAATTTAGTGTAAATCTAACCTTAATGCCTAAATAAATCTTTACAAGATCCTTCAAAAGATCAGAAATATTTTGAAAAATTGTCTCAAAGGCTATTGCAACCGTTCCAAACGGTCTATTAAATTCATAAATGAACCATGCAGTAGTGTCGTCATGCAGGCCAAATACGTGGGTAAAACCACGCGAGTCAAAGTCGGGTGGAATAATTCCTCCTCCCTCTTGATTGGGAACGGCCACGCACTCATAAGGGTCTTGTAAGTTGGCAAACATTCTACGGCATGTTGTGCACGAGTGGACAATCGACGCATGATTGTCGTAAGCCTCCCACTATAATTTAAAAAAGAACAAATTAGAAATGCAATTTTGTACATATCACATACATGAAACATATCATGTAATATTTAATATTGAACTGAATACCATGAAAAGTTGCAGTTATTCCACCCGCAAATTATTTGGCGACCCATCCTCCTCGCTGCACTACGATCCGCAGTGCGGGTCACACTTATGTTGGGGAAGGATACATCATTATTCCCAATTATTTACTAAAACTGCAAGTGGGTTCACCAACATTGATTCCAATGTCTATTAAAATATCACACATTGGCTGAGGGATTTTGTATCGCAATGATAATGATCCCGTGTTTACAAGTTCTTTGAACGCTGCTTGGTTGACTTCGGTAGGATGACAAATTATTTCGCTCAATGCGCTCACGTTAAATCCACTAATGTGTTGATAAAATGTATTGTCTGCTCGGGCACTGCATTTAATAAACTCTCCAACCACAATTTCTTTCACTAAAGGAACAATTGATTGTGAAAGGTTTACAGCAGCGCTGCACACTTTTTTGTTCAGTTCGCCGAGTGGATATTCTGCCACCAAGAGAAATGTTTGACACGTTTCACAGCACGACATTTTAACAATACCTGATTACTCCAAAATTTTAAATGTGGATCCAAAACTAAAGCCCATCTCCTTCAACCTGTCTGCCAATGGATTAGGAAATGTATAAACATGTCTCAGGACATGAGTATTAATTAGAATTCGAAAAGCTACAGAGTTAACTGAATTATTGTTCTGGAATGCCCCACAAAGCTCAAAAAGCATTTGTGCCGTTTCCAAATTTTGCTCGGAATAATTAGGGGGGCACAGGACCGTTTCACGGAGTTTGATAATATCAACTAATTCTTTAAGTGTAATAATAGTACTGGTGTTTTGTTGTAGTTTTCCATTCAGAATCGAAATCTTGTGCTGTGCATGCAGACGGAGCCTGTCGCAAAGGTCGCAAATCATAATTAATTAGAGGTGTCGTCGTCTGTGAGTGTTGATGTGTTGGGATCAATGTTGAAACCTAAACGCCTCAACTCTTGGATTTGTATGTCAAACCCCCGTTGAAAATCTTGGCAGCCCCTGAACCGAGTGAGTGGCAAGAAGTTGTTGCCAATCAAAAGGTCTTGCAGATTTCTAACTCTGGATAGGCCTGTGACACATAAACATTTTTTATAGTTTAAAAGTTTGTAGTTTAAAATGTGTCGAGACTTTTTGCATACCGGTATAGCTGTAATTTGGGAATCTCTCAATTGCCGTAAAGTTGAAAATGAGTTTGTTTAGCGTCTTTCCCTGTTACATAATAATTGTGCATAGTACTTCTTCTCACACACATTGAAAATTGCATAATTTAGTCATATTAAATGTACATACCTGGTTTTTATGTAAAGTTTGGCCAATCGCCTGTTTAATTGGGAACTGCTTTTGATGATTTTGGTATATGTATTGCACCTTGACTGGCAGTCCGCCAAAAATTGTTGGACCTGTCCACCCTTCCACTTGCAAAATAATAAAGTCTGGGTAAGTTTTTTGCTTGAAAAAAACTGAACGAATTATTCGCGCAAGACATTCATTTGTTAAACCTACAATTGTAAAACAACATTAATATTGTGTGGTGCGCTATATAGGTACAACATTTAATTACCTGCTCTAACAGAAATGTTGGTAATAATTTGCACCTTTGCACCTTCATACACAAGTAGGTCGTTAACTGTTGACGCCGCGTTCACCGGCGCTAGTCTCAGAACAGGAACCTGAAGCTTGCGAATTTTTCTTCTTGCATAAGAATCGCACTCCTCATTGGTTGGGAATATCTATGGGATAAGGATATGAATATTAAATTCAGATAAAGTTTTAAGTGGTAACAACTAACCACGGCAGCATCCAAAAAACCAACCCTCTCCTCTGGGGACACAAGCTTTATTGATCGGCTGGAAAGAGTGGATATGTCAGCCTCAGTGACTCTCTTGAATCTAAAAATGTACACAATTGAAAATCTAATTTTGCATGTTTTTTCAACTATTTTTGTACCTGAAATTTCTCAAAACGTTGAGATAAGCCTGATCATCCGCTCTAAAATTGTCCTCCAGGACCACAGACTCAAACGACCGATACAATTCCTGTGTAGTACACTCAAAATAAAATCATTACAAAATCTTTACCATGCGGAATGACTATATGACCCTCCCGCATGGTAACGAGTGAACAGAATGTGGTAATGAGAGCAGCGCGATACCATTTGGTAAGGATAATCTGCTATACCGCATAGTAATAACGCAGCACACACAGTAATATTTACTACATTATTGTAATAACACTGATAACGATCCGGGTAACGTGAGATTACCTTTTTTGGTTAAACATGATACATTTTTAGTATTAAATGTTACCTTATACGAAAAATATTAGACAGGTGGGTTATAATTATAGATTTTTTTATTCACACTATAAAATGTACATATTTATCTCTTAAAAAACTACAAACATTACGTACTATATTATTTAAAAGTAACTTGAAAACTTCTGAAAAGCTGTAACTCATTTCCTTCACAATAAAATCTACGGTCGAATTATTAACTCCACTTGCTAATAAAGAAGAACAAAAATTATGAAGTAAATTGGTGAAAAGCTTAATTCCTAAATTAACAGTGATTTCTTCCACTATCTCTACCTCGTCGAATTTGTGCGGCTCAATAGTGACCTCATCTAACCTGATTCCGAATTCGTTTTGTTGTTGAATTGACTCATTTTCTAAATTATTTATATTATTATGAAGTTCTTTCAGATGACGCGAGAAGCCGCTCCAAGTTGACAACTGTATGGTGCACGACACGCTTGGACAAAAAATCGTTTTAAAATTTAGTTCGCCATAAATATGACCATACTTCATGATGATCCTTAATATCTAAACTAGTATTATAATATTTCGAACACTCGGGGCATTTAAACATCCTGATCTGGCCAAGTTCCAAGTTGTGTGAATATTTGTTTCACTGTGCGAGGAAGTGAAGTCGTTTCAATGTCCAATTTGTATATGTAGACTTGGACGAACTTCCAAACTCCTGAGAGATTTTTGTCGTACTCGGTTCCGTAGTGAAAAAAAACGTAGTGAGCCTTGAAGAGTGTATCGAGGGCTTGAGTAGTAGGCTTGAGTATCACAAATAATAAAAAAACGAGGTTAAGTCCTTCGGCGATTTTCCAAGGCAGACAAGGTTTGGCTGGGTTTTTTCGTCTTTCCAAGTATCAAGGATAGATGGAAGAGGGGTTCCAGTCTGTGGTGATGAAAATAATTATTTTATGTTTTACAATTTCAATATTTTTTTTATTTGTACCTTAAAATAAGAAACGATCAGCTCTCTTGCGTCATCTGTTTTGGACCAGCTCCCCCTACCTTTCCCTTGAGCGGTGGGAGGAATCAAGTAGAGGAGACAAAATAGAGCAAAAATTTTGCGATCCCAATTATCTATCACAATTTTGTTTAAATTAGATTACCTAGTTTATTCCGACTGTAATAAATAAGTTATTACCTAACTTCAGAGAGATGAATTTTTCCAGTCCAGGAGACTTGCATATTTTAGTTGCATTTTCAATTATCTTTTCAGACAGGGAAGGCCAAGTCGTAACGAAATGGCTTGACAAATCCTCGTGCATCAAGGAAAATTCGTAATTGATCTGTTGGATTTGCAAAATTGGGTTAGGCGGTGAATATTAAAAATATGAGCTTCAAAATAATAGCATAACACTAAATCAAACAAGATTAACTTCATGACCAGTCTTCACACTTACTAGGAAATCGCAGTCTAAAAATTTCTTGTACAATTTGAGTATGAGTGTAGACTTTGCTTGGTTTTTTCGCAAAGATATCCGGATGTGCTTCAAGTTAGCCGCAGCCGCAGTTCAAGACAGCCGCAGCCGCAGGACATACAAAATAGCCGCAGCCGCAGCCGCGGAATATACAAGTTGGCCGCAGCCGCAGAAAAAAATCTCAAATTCCCCAAAAAATCTCAAATTCCCCAAAAAATCTCAAAATCCCTGAAAAATCTCAAATTCCCCGAAACATCTCAAATACCCCCAAAAATCTCAAATTCCCCAAAAAATCTCAAAATCCCCCAAAAATCTCAAAATTTATTAATTATCAGAATTTCAACGTGGTTACAATTTTTTCAGTTAAGAAACCAAAAATTTTACACGTAAAAGTTAAAATGTCGTTGTAACGAAGTTAAATTCGGATAAGAGTTCCCATGTAAAAATTGGCTTTTTTTTGCGAAAATGCCACCACCATCTCCCAGTAGGCTTCACAAACTCAAGTCATGTCTCAAAATTCCTTATGATAGTTTTATAAAAATTTTTATAAAAATTTTATAAAAATCGAGCAAGTGGTTGGGTTTTTTGTAGAATTATAAATCCTTAAATATATTACTGATGCACGCTGTATGTTATGCACGAAAGTGCAAGGTTTCCGATACATTTCAATTTCGAAAATTGGTTACGATTTGGAGGAGTATTTCAGTATGGAATTTCTAATGGTTTTAAACATTATACTACATCCGCCAACTTAACAAGTGATGCTTTAACAACTGGAGACTTATTTGATTCAGAAGAAACATTCCTCAAATCCATTGATTTTCTCGTCGACATCGAAGAAAAATATAATTGCTCCAATAAGTGTCTAATTAGTAGATCAGTGTCTACTTGTCCTATGGTGGACCTAACGATTACGTCGCCCAACATGTTTACGACGATCCTCAACACCACTAGTAATACCAATTGTGACACTTGTCCCCCAAATCAAAACCTATCGTACAGCTTCGCGGAGCCCGACCCCGGGTTTATTATATAATAGTTAAACTATGTTTGAGCTGACTTCAAAATTTCCGTCAAAAATATAACACCAAAAATAATTCCATAGTTAATATCTTTGAAAATATCCGACAAAATTTTTGTCAAAAATATAATACCAAAAAAATCCATAGTTAATATCTTTAAAAATATCCGACAAAATTTCTGTCAAAAATATAATACCAAACAAAATCCATAGTTAATATCTTTAAAAATATCCGACAAAATTTCTGTCAAAAATATAATACCAAAATGATTCCATAGTTAATATTTTTCAAAATATCCGACAAAATTTCTAAAATTGCCCCCACCGGTCAACCACTGGACCGATTTGGCTCATCTTCGAACTCGAACTGTGTTTTGACATGGTATACATGTGTGCAAAATTTCAAGTCGATCGGATAAGTTTAAAAAGAGTTATCATTAGACGGACAGACAGACAGACAGACAGACGGACAGACAGACATCACGGGCTAAAAAGGGAAAAGGCCAACTGTCCAAATTTCATTTTCATGGACCGAATTAGGCCCTTGTCCGTTTCTTTGTTACACGGTGGCCCAAGGGGGAATAACTTCTGCAACAGAGTTTGATGTGTTGACCGAGCAAAGAATTCTAGGGGTTAGGTATATATTATTTGCGTTTACTTTCTTTTATGGTGGTCATTATAAGGCGGTCTTTTATTACAAGCGACGTTACTATTTGTATGACGGGCTTCACCCGGAAACACTAAAAAATTACACAATTGGCGATGCACCCAAGGGGCATCGACTTAGCACGGTATTTATGATAATGGACAAATAATAATATACCACGATAACAATAATTATTTTTCACGCTGCATTAAATTTTTATTTAGCATCAGTAATAATTACATTTAATGCATTTAACCATTCCGTGAATAATTTTGTCTATTTTGGCAAAATGCATTATTATTATTATTATTATTATTATTATTATTATCTTTCTGTTGGATAACTAAGCGTTAAGATGGATGGTGCCACCCATAATCTGTAAATATTTACACATATGTAGTTGATAAAAATTGTCTAATAAAATAATTGTTCATGTCAAATTAAGCAATTTCCATTCATGCTTGTTCTCAAGCAAATTGGAGACAAGTTACAACTACTATATCTTCTTAAAACCTACATATAGCACCACTGCTTAGTAAATTCAATTTTTATTCATCACCTTTAATAAAATGTTGTCCATGGTCTTATTTAGTGATTTCATGCAGAAAAATAATGCTAAATTTTAGTGGATTATTTCAATTGCTAATAACTGGTATGAATACACCCGTAGGTACCTGTTACTCAAAAATATTCCCAAGCATTACGTCTTCGTATTTCATTACCTACTTAAATATACATAAATATTTTGAATAATGCCACCACCACCAAAATAGTTCTTACGTACATACTCAAGGCATTTAATTCAGATTAGAACTCCATTCTAACAGTTTTGCCAAGCAGAAGCATGAAGTTTCATTAGCAAATCCCTAAAAATTCAGTGTAACAAGTTTTTTGTTATTTTGCAAAAACGAGATGATTGTGAGGAATCCAATTTGGATTCCTCAGGTTGAAAATGTATGATTTGGGAATCGATATTTTTTTGAAAAATTTGACATGTTTGGAGAATTTGTGATTTTTGGAGGATTTTGAAATTTTTTTGAGAAATTTGTGATTCTTTGCGGAATTTGAGATTTTTGGGGAAATTTGAGATTTTTGGGGGTATTTGAGATGTTTCGGGGAATTTGAAATTTTTCGGGGTATTTGAGATGTTTCGGGGAATTTGAGATTTTTCGGGGATTTTGAGATTTTTGGGGAAATTTGAGATTTTTTGGGAATTTGAGAATTTTTGGGGAATTTGAGATTTTTGGGGGTATTTGAGATGTTTCGGGGAATTTGAAATTTTTCGGGGTATTTGAGATGTTTCGGGGAATTTGAGATTTTTCGGGGATTTTGAGATTTTTGGGGAAATTTGAGATTTTTTGGGAATTTGAGAATTTTTGGGGAATTTGAGATTTTTGGGGGTATTTGAGATGTTTCGGGGAATTTGAGATGTTTCGGGGAATTTGAGATTTTTTGGGGAATTTGAGATTTTTCGGGGATTTTGAGATTTTTTGGGGAATTTGAGATTTTTTAGGGAATTTGAGATTTTTTTCTGCGGCTGCGGCCAACCTGTATATTCCGCGGCTGCGGCTGCGGCTATTTTGTATGTCCTGCGGCTGCGGCTGTCTTGAACTGCGGCTGCGGCTAACTTGAAACACATGATATCCGGTGTGAGAACGTTTCTAGAAATAATTGTTTGATTTCTTTGGACGAATTCTTGGGACAAAGACTGTTGATTTTGTTAATAACTTCCAAAGGAATAATTTCAGTCGGCTCATCATCTGGCACTGGTGGAGGAATAAATTTCGCGGACGGTCCACCGGTAAATGTTGAGACCCTCTTCGATGCACTTTTGGCCTTGCTTTTGTTCAAGGTGGTATGATCTTATACATACTTGGTATACATATATTGCAATACAATAATTATTGTGAAATTTTTTACCGTTCCATTTATACTTCCAGGTCGGGTGTAACGCCAGGAAGGGACAACTTGAATAATTGCCTTTGCAAATAGTAATTTATCCTTGGTGCTTGGCGAGTCACTATGGAAAAGTTTCAAATTAATAAACGAAATACCAATTCCACAAATAGATTGTGATTGCCAAAATCCAAACAATTTGCAGCCTTGTCCGGCCTCGGGGGTCAAACAGTGGGTCAGTCTCAAGGAACCACCCAACTTCTGTTTCACACCGAAGATGATGAGTTTGAGGTAAATGCATACGTTGTGCCTCACATCACCGGAAATCTTCCCATGCAACCGTATCCACCAGTTCCAGAATTCAAATCATTGGGGCTAGCTGATTCATCTTATAATAATCCATCAAGAATTGATGTTTTGTCGGGAGCTGACATTTATTATTCATTGGTATCTGATGGTCGTATCAGCAGTACCTCTGGACTCACGGCTTTTAAAACTCGATTGAGGTGGGCAGTGGGAGGACCGATTCATGCACAGTCATATAGCACATTTATTAAACCTGTTGTTATCAATTTGGATGGGGCACTTGCAAAGTTTTGGGAACTGGAAGAGATACCCGTCCGAGGTCCAGTTCCATTTTCAAGTGAAAATGAGGAAGTGGAAAGGCATTTCGCTTCTACTCATTCACGTGATTCTACTGGAAGATTCGTGGTCCAGCTGCCAATGAAGGAGCCCATGCAACCACTAGGATCCAGTAGAAATATTGCAGTCAAACGCCTGGAGGCGATTGAACGAAGGCTTGCCAGGAATGATGATTATCGAAAGGAGTATAATCGCTTCATGGCAGATTATGAGGGACTCGGTCACATGAAATTAATTGGTGATTCGGAGATAAATTCAAGTAATATGACTTGCTATATTCCTCATCACTTTGTTTTGAAATTATCAAGCACCACGACCAAGTTTCGGGTAGTGTTTGATGCATCAGCATACACAAGCAATGGAAATTCGTTGAATAATTCCATGATGGTTGGACCGACCATCCAGCCACCCTTGACTACAATTATTATGCGATTTAGGAAGCATCCTATCGCTTTCTCTGCAGATATCACAAAAATTTATCGCCAGATCAAGGTTGCCAGAGAAAACCAGGATTTGCAGCGAATTGTGTGGAGACCACACCCATCAGAGCCAATTCGTGATTATCGTCTCACCACGGTGACTTATGGAACAGCAGCAGCACCATATCAAGCAACAAAGGTTCTTCAAACACTTGCAGAATATGAATCAAATAAATATCCATTAGCAGCGGAAATTGCTATCAATGATTTTTATGTTGATGACTGCATGTCTGGAGCCAACACTGTGGATGAGGCCATCGAGTTATATAATCAACTGACTGGATTGATGGCAAGTGGAGGGATGGAACTTCGCAAGTGGAGTTCAAATTCTCCCGAATTACTCGATCATATTCCTGACGTGCAACGGGAACTTGAAACTTTGATTGAATTGGATGACCCAGCAGTGAAGATGCTTGGTATTTCGTGGAACACCCAGAGAGACTGTTTTCAATTTCTGGTGTCAGACTTGAGTCGCAGTGGTGCGACACCCTTGACGAGGAGAAACAGATTGTCAGATATAGCGAAGCTATTCGACCCTTTAGGATGGTTTGCACCAGTAACCATTTCTGCAAAAATAATGATGCAAGAATTGTGGAAGGCCAATCTGGATTGGGACATTCCAGTTCCGACTGCACTCGCTGACGTGTGGGTGAAGTTTCGAGATTCCCTTACAGACCTGGCTTCTATTTCAATTCCCAGATGCATTAATTCAACTTCTGTCCACTTAGCACGAAGACTTGTTGGATTTTGTGATGCTTCTGAAAGAGCTTATTCGGCTGTTATTTATTCTGTAATTTTGACGAATGACGATGCAGCGGTCATCTCACTCATAGCAGCAAGAACAAGAGTTGCACCAATTAAATCTGTGTCCTTGCCACGACTTGAGCTTTGTGGAGCCCTGCTTCTTGCCCAATTACTGACTTCAGTCCGAGAAGAGTTAAGAATGGAATTTGATGAATCTATTGCATATACGGATTCCACAATCGTCCTGGCATGGATTAAGACAAGTCCACATCTTTGGAACACTTTTGTCGCCAACCGTGTCAGTAAAATTCAAGCGTTGATGAATTCAAATTCATGGAGACATGTTCCGGGAATTGAAAACCCTGCTGATTGTGCTTCTAGGGGAATCATGCCAGACCAACTTCAACATCATCCCTTATGGTGGAAAGGTCCAGGATGGTTGGGAGAGGTGGACTTGCCCTACCAATCCGTAGTTATTCCATATCATGACCATGAAATAAAGCAAGTGAAGGCAGTCACATTTACAAATACTATTGGAAATAGTGAAGATGTTGACCTTCTTCACAAATATTCATCACTTCGAAAACTGATTGCAGTTACAGCATGGATGAAGAGATTTGGCAAAAATTGCTCTTCTTCAGTTAATGAGAGAGAACGCGGTCCACTTTCACCTCAAGAGTTAAACGATGCTCTCATGATTTGGATTCATCGTGCTCAAAATGATGTTTATCAAAGAGAGATCAAGGCTCTGACATCCCATAAAATGTTGTCTCCTAAATCTCACATTTTGAAACTCAACCCATTCGTTGATAGTAGTGGAACCCTTCGAGTTGGTGGTCGCTTAAGGAATGCCAGCCAACTTTCTCCTGATAGAAAGAGGCCAATCCTTCTCCCACAACAACATAAGTTGACGGAACTTTTGAATCTCATTTGGATAACCTGCATGCTGGTCCTCAATTGCTGCAATCAATAATTTGTCAGAAATATTGGATTGTCAATGTGCGGACAGTTCTCCGTCGCATCATTCATAAATGTGTAATTTGTACACGCCAGAGAGCTGCAATAAATTCTCAGTTAATGGGGAATTTGCCGGAAGTAAGAGTTTCACCTTCCCCAGCATTTCAAAAACGTGGAGTTGACTATGCTGGCCCGTTTACACTGCGAGCGATACCAGCAAGATCAAAGGTGACATTCAAGGGATACCTTTGCATTTTTGTCTGCATGGTGACCAGAGCAATTCACTTGGAAATTGTGTCTAGTCTTGACACAGATTCTTTCATTGCAACACTGAAGAGGTTTGTTGCTCGGAGAGGCAAACCTACAGATATCTACAGCGACCAAGGGACAAATTTCATTGGCGCTGAACATGAACTTAAAGGACTAATCACATCGGATGCTCATAATGCAACTTTAGCTAAAACATTAGCTAATGATGGAATCAATTGGCATTTCAATCCACCTGGAGCTCCACATATGGGAGGAGTTTGGGAGGCAGGAGTGAAAACAGTCAAATATCATTTGAAACGCGTCGTAGGTGAGACTCGTCTTACTTTCGAGGAAATCACAACCTTGATGGCACAAATTGAAGCGTGTTTCAATTCGCGTCCTCTCACCCCGATGTCATCAGATCCGAATGATTTTAGTGCACTGACACCTGGACATTTTCTCATTGGAAGGCCATTATTAGCAATTCCAGAACCCAATCTGCAAGAAACCAAACTAAACCAATTATCTCGTTGGCAATATTTACAAAGAATTACCCAGGATTTTTGGAAACGATGGACCAATGAACATATTTCTCGGCTACAACAGCGCCCTAAGTGGACTCGACCCATGCAATCCATTAAAATTGGTGATTTGGTGATTATCAAAGCAGAAAATTTTCCACCATTGCATTGGAAAATGGGCAGAGTCATCAAAACCCACGAAGGGACAGATGGACTAGTCAGAGTTGTCACCCTCAAAACTGAAGGAGGAGAAATGCAGAGACCAATTCATAAGCTTTGCCTACTACCTCTTGATGATGAATCTCAGGCAGAGATTCATGGGGGCCGGGATGTTGGGTCGTAAAATGATGAATCATTCTCGTCGCAACTTGCAATATGTTATTTTATTCAAGTTTAAAGATTTGCAGTCTCATTTTGCTGTGCATTTTGTCTTTTCCGTGTCTAGATTTTTATAGTCGCATAAATCACTTCAGTCTGTATTTTTTTTGCAGAAAGTTATGTCTTGGTTGCAAGTTTAAATATACATACATATGTTCATATATGTACATGCTTTCATTTAAGTGTTATGTTAGAGAAATGTAGAACGTTTATGTAAAATGACTCATTTGCTAAAAATGTTTCCCTCACATTTTGGTTGCTACCATATATGTTAAACTTTTAAGGCTACAGTTACTTGTGCGACTTTGCTAAATATTTTGTAGATGCTTATGTGTACGAAAATAACCTTGTCTGTAGGTAAATATTCATAAAATCAATCTGCAGAGTTGAGAGAAAAAGAGACGAGGTTTGTATTTTGGAGAGAGATTTGAGTGAGAGAGAGAAGAAGGGAAGCAAGCAGTAGGAGGAATTGAAACTTAGTAGTAGAGAAATAACTTGTATGTATTTTCGTTTTCTTTTAAATAAAGGTGTGAATTGAGACTGGTTAACTTAACGACTTTCTTGTACTTTTGGAAAATTATTATTTCCATACGAAGTAGCCTAGTTATCCCACCACACTTCAATAGATTTGAAAAAAAATTCGCGAAAAGGTTCGCAATTTTTTTGAATAGAGGGTAAAAGATTGTAAGGACAGGACAATTTTTAATAATTTTTTTCGCTATTGTGCAAAAAATAATTATGCAAGTTTAATTTCTAAAAATGTGTTGATAATTAAGCTGGTAAAATTGTTGCGAAAAATTTTACGAATGAAGGATGGTAAGTTAATTAATATTTGTTAAAAATCTGATCTTTAGGTGCATCACACTTGGAAAATACCGACACCCTTCGCATCCTATCCGATGTAATTATTTTAAATTAAATTTAAATTTAAATATCGTGGTCCCGCCAATAAATGCCTTTACCTCAAAAGAACTCGAAGATAATTCCAAAGATAGAGAAACTTTAAATATTTCCTATTCAAATATATTTCAAATATTCCCCGGGTACTCGTTTAACCGCAAAGTTTAAAAATTTTAAGCTGTATGTCTTTTCCTAGGGACGGCTTCCTTACCACATTTACATATTTCTATTCCCCATGAACAAATGGGTTTATTTGGGGATGTTTACCCTCGTGAATTTCTGGACGGTTTCCATCCACGATGGGGACTTGAGAGGGCCCTCCGTCCTGAAGCCTTTGATCAACGGGGCTGCCCACCACCCGGACCATCATCTCTTCTATAATTTCAATTATGGCCAACTCTCAGGCTGTGGGACCGAATAGGGGGGAGTTTTAGGGAACCCAGTGCTTTCGGGGGGGGGATTCGCCGTTAAAAAAGTTGACGAAGCATAATTAAATTGGGGATCGAATTTATACTTAAATTTTCGAATTTTTTGCAAATTTTCCAACCATGTATTTTTTTACTATTGATCAATCCTCCAAGTGAATAATTATTTAACTTGGAGAAATCAGATAAAATAAATAGCAACACGAATTGGCTTAGTTTTCAGTCTTTTTTATTCGCATAAAAGTTTTTGCAAGCTGTGTACGTATCTAATCTAACAACTACAATTATATCCTCAATATTTAAATATTTTTATGTCCATTATTATCTCTCTTAATCATTCTGCGTAAATAACATCTTTCATTTACCTATTGATACACTAGTGTCTTAAGTTGCTTAATTGGACAAAGTTATCTAAGGTTGCTAAAGTTTAACCTGACCCCTTATTGAATACTTCATCAGTAACATAAAATTGGTCAAATGAGACGTTTTATGTTAATTATGAACTTGAGGACAACATGACGGTTGAAGATGCTGCAGGGATGATGCATGTCGATTATTCACAATTATCCTCACCGTATTCCATCAACAACTCGGCCAATTCAAATGAGATTTAGATTTAGACGTTGATTTATCCAGATTAAGACACAGTCCTGATTTAGCTGGTTAAGGGAATCGTTTACTGTTTCGGTCATAGAAAGCACTAACCGATAGCAATACACACTATAATCACTTACAGCAAAGCAATGGCAATGGATCTTATCTACGCGACGGGTCGAGGCCTTAAGCAAGGGTCATCTTGTAAGAACCCATAATACAGAGCAACCTTATACATATGCAGCTTGATAAAAACTGAGCTTCATTTTTAATACAAAACAGTCGAACAAAATACGTTCAAACTGTTTGTGGACAATCCGGATGTTGAGAAATCAGCCTGCCTCCATTTAGACGTTGAAATCGAAGGACCTGGAAAATCACAGATCGTCACTCAAAAATTTGGAAATGGGACAGTTGGAGTTAACTATCGTGTCGCGAAAGCTGGGAATTACTTGATTCACGTGAAGTATCAAGGGAGCGACTTTGAAGGGAGTCCCTTCCACTTGAAGGTCAACTAATGGCTTTTTTATGTAAAAAAAAGTCCTGAAATGGGTTAAAAATATAAATCTATTTATGGTTTGATTAAAGCCACATTTTAGAATTATTCCTTTGTCTCAATTTTACCTTCGTAATAATGTTTTACTAAAATTATGCGAATTACATAGGTGCGTACTTCTATTTAGTTATTGTATTTAGTGTATTTAGTTAAACAACTTACCAGCAGAACCTTTATGTATGTATATATCGGTACATAGAAAAATTTGACGAATTTTGGGCAAAATTTAAATGCCGCGAAATTCGCATTAAATTTGCCCATTTTGGCTTGTAGAGCAAAATCTACCCTTCCGCCCCCCCAATTTTATTACAGATTCTTACTCAGCTAAAAATTACGAAAATTTTGAGCTATCATACATGAAAATCGGAGAAACTTTAAAATTCTTCTCATCATGGTATAAGTATATCTTAATAAGAGGCGAATTTGCAATATTTTCCAAAATTCGCAAATTTGCAAATCTGACCCCCAAATCCTATTCAATAATTAAAACCAAGTACAATATAATTTTAGGACCGTATTTGAATGACATTTGACAAGTTTCAACCAAAAACCTAATATCGCGAAATTCGCATTGAATTCGCACATTTTGGTTCGTAGCGCAAAATCTACCTCTCCGCGCCCCCAATTTTATTACAGATTCTTACTCAGCTAAAAATTACGAAAATTTTGAGGGGTCATAGGTCAAAATCGTTGAAGCCGTCCTCTTTCACTAAAAATTAAGGCAAATTAAGCGATTTTCAACGATTTTCAAAAATTCGGAAAATTGCAAATTTTCTTCGCAAATCTGCCAGTTTAGTTCCAAAATAATTCTAAGCCCTTGTTTCAATAAAATTTGACGAGTTTTGGGCAAAATTAAAATACCGCGAAATTTGCATTAAATTTGCACATTTTGGCTTGTATAGCGAAACCTACCCTTCGGCGCCCCCAATTTTATTATGGATTCTTACTCAGCTAAAAATTACGAAAATTTTGAGCTATCATACATGAAAATCGGAGAGGTACTTTAAAATTCTTCTCATGGTTGTATAAGTATATCTTAATAAAATCTTTCCCAAGACACCCTTCCACAATTTCTGGGTTTTGGAAAGTGTTGAAAGATGAGTGGAAGAAAGTTGATCTCACTATGGTTCTGAAAGCGTACAACAGATGGAGTCGAATATGTCGACTTAACGTTCAAGATATGGGCTTTCATATAAAAAATATCCTGGGCCTTCCTCACAAAGGGTCATCGATTAATTAAGGTTTGAAATCGACCCCAGCTGTTGCAGCACCCATTCTGTATTGAATACAGATTGAAATACCTTGATAAAAGTTATATTTTCAACTCTTACTTGGAAAATATCTATCGTGTTAGCACAGCGATAAGTTTTCTGCTAGTGAATCCCCACATGGTTTTTGTCTTCACAAGAATTGCGGTCTTCAAACTTTTTAATACAATACGTGTCCTGTTAAACCATGTTTTGGTGGAGCTCACGACAATATTTGCTATAAGTTTGATAATCTTACAATTTTCTACCGCAAATACAACCAACCCCAACGACAGCAAAATCGCGCAAATTGAAATGGCTGGAAGAACTAAGTCGATTGAGACGGGATTCGACTCGTGGAAAGTGGGTGGCTCTCTAACTTTACCAAGCACATCTTGCAATGTACGAAAGTATGTACGCTGCTTTTTAAGCTTCTCCTTATTTTTCAAGGCATTCCCCATGGTGTCTACTTTAATGCAAAACCTGTTTAACCCAGAAGCTTCTAAGCTGCTTAATCCCTTGGCGAGGTAAGGTGTGAATATACTAGTTCTTCCAGTATGAGCTTCGATAACTTGAAATTGTGAGTCCCAAGAACTCCGGACAACATGGCTACTGCCTGCATTTTTAATTGTCCTGATCCGTTCTTCAATGTAGGGTCTGAAAATGAACAATACCATCATAGGGTGGCCGTGTGGGGAGGTCGCGTATACATTCTTGAAATACATTTCTTGCACTGGTGGATCATGAATTGCCAGAAGTTTCGCTTGAAGTTTGGTCAAAAGCCGAAAAAAGTTTAGATTTTTGTCAGCACTAACCAGTAGCTGTGGAATCACTATATCTTGAAGATAAGTGCCTGGAATTGCTATGTTTTGACGATGAGTGCCTTGGTTGGATTTCTCGGTATGGGAATACATCTTAACAAAACCATCCATGCATATTATAGGAGCGTCAAGTGCAACAAGATCTCCGAGTCCACGCGGCGTTGCCAGTGGAAATAGAACCGCAAGACAAGAATATATCGAGCCCTGATAATAATTAACCATGAGGAAAAAATTCCCAAACAACCAGAGAGTGACTAGTATTAGATCCATTTTTCCCATGCGATACGATCTACCAGAACTATCACCAACCTGGCCCAGAAATATGGAGATTACAGTAATTGATTTATCCAGCATCCTTTCAGCAAAGTACAGCAGTTGATGACGCCATTTTCTGTTGATTACTGATACCAGTTTACCTTTGG